ATAACACACCAGCTTGGTGTATGGTTTTACTGAAGCCGTAAGTAATCCTCAGAAGAAACTCAGTAAAGATGAATGTAACATTTCAGGACTTAAACCTCCAAAATATGAAAATATTTCTCTGGGAACTAAGCCTCTTAAACTGAAATAGAAAAGCTTATTTTTACAGAGGTAGGAAGAATTATTGGAAAATATACAGTATTTCTTATTACTCAGTATTTCTATCACATTTATTTTGACAAGTCAGGAATAAGAACACATTCTTTAAAATTAAGTCAGATTGATTTTTATTATTTTCCTGCCTACTCTTTCCTCATTTATAATGGTGTTGGCAATACTGTACATATATATTACTAGAGCATCACTATACACCATTTTCAAGAAACATATACCAATCACATTACTGAATTTTTTAAGATGGTTAAAATACAAGTACACAAACATGCAGAATTAAAATAATTTATAAGACTTCTTTTTCTCAAAGTCAAGGAAATAAAACCCTTCTCGCTGCATCACAGTAGACTGTATGTGCACAATCAGTAACTTTTTCTAAGCTGAGAAATTCAGCTCTTCATAAAAATTTAAATAGATCACTTCAATTTATTTTACTGTGCTTTTACTGCACTGTGTCACCATGTAATGGAACACCTGAGTGCCATTTGCCAGAAGACATTATCTGTGCCAGGAGCAAAGCTCCATGTGGGATTCAGCCTAGGTGCTCCAGCGCTACCACTTAGTTCCCAGTTTCTCCTGGCACTGCAGTTCCTCTCCAGGGCTCCCCAACCTGATGTTTCCATGTGAAGACCCTGATCTGACAGRCAGGAGTTCCTGGCATGGCACAAAGCAAATGCAGCTTGCAGCAATGCTCAGTGTCAACTCCGGGATCACTGATTTAGGCATTCCTTGGATAAGTCCTATGTATACTCCCAGGAAATCAAAGGCAATGATCATTTCAAGAAACTGAGAGAAGAAGCAGTGCTTAAAGTATCTGCAGTCTTCAGGTTTTGATGGCACTGATTAATGCCCAGTTTTGATGCTCACAAAGAAGTGAACACAGCTTATTGAGCAAAACTGGCTGTGGATGCACTGCCTGAGCTGTCACAGAGGGAAAAGTTCCTGGATTAAATCTGTAGGAAGAGAGCTGACATGGGAATGCTGTGGATATTTATTAAGATACCCATGCGCTCATAACGCAGAGATTTGTGTTCCAGCACATCACAGGAGGCTGTCAGTCACCTGCCTTATTGGACAGTGACAACCAGAAACCTGTTTGGGAACTGCAGTCAAGAGCCCCATGTCKCTGCAGCCTGACTGCAATCCCACTGCTCCATCCCTGCTGGTTCACAGAGGCCACAGGGGCTGCCTAAACACCATCCCTACCTGTCAGCCTTCTCACCGAGTGATGAGGACAGGAATGAGCTCTAATTCAAAATATTCTACTCAGGGAGTAGTTTTCTTCTTACRGCTAAAAAAAACCAATAAACTTCTGCAAGAGGGGATGACCCATAAATTATTTAAGCTACAAAAAGCAACAATTATTTTTTCATGTGTTCTTTACATTTAATTTGGAACAGGTTAATAACTTAAGCTGCTCATACAGTTAAAAACAAACTGATTTTCCCCTCAATTTCCTACACACCAAGAAAGCAATCACTAAAATAATCAGCATTCTTACATAAGCTGGCTTTTTTTTYCCCCAGTAAGATGTTTAACACTTCATTGTGGTGCTTTCCAAATCCAAACCCCGCTCCTCTACAGAATGCAAGAATGAATTTTCATCACATAGTGAAAGGCACTACCAATCCTTGGATCAGACAAGAGCAGTGAACTCCAAACATACAGATCTCCTTTAGAAAGCTGTGTAGAAAAATCAAGTTTGCCATTTCCCATCAGTAGCATGAAACCTATTTTAGACACACTGCTATAGGATGACAATAAAATGTGTAGAATTATTTAGGAAGTGACACATAATACTAAAGATATTTGGGAAAGAAAGCCCACAAGTTCTGCATTAAATTTCCYGTCAAAAGCATCTGGTCTGCACTGTAAGCAAAACAAAACAAGCGTACAGGGATCTGTCTGGAACTCCCTCTGCTGCTCYCTCAGCCCTCCTGGAAGAGGAGGAGAGCTCATCCTGCASTCTGTTCCCAGCACTGCTTGGGAAGGCAGGCCAGGCCCTCTGTTGTTCTTAGGCCTCCCTCTCACATCTCAGCATAAGTAGGTCACGGCCACTGCCATGCTCCACTTCATCTTTGACTTCATTCTGAAATCACAGCCCTCCCGCCCTTCTCCTTTAATGCCATTCACAAAAACCACAGGCCCTGAAGGAATTTACTCCTTGAAAGCCAGCCCKTGACTTTTAACTCCTTCCCTGTTCATTTACACCCAGCCCAGCACTTCTCAATGTATTCCTGAAATGGCGTTAGTAACTCTGGACACTGGAAATTTGAGATTAATGAAATAACTCTGCCATAAGTAAAAACRTACAAAAGCAGACTTCAGAAGTGGTTCTATTTCTGTAGCAGAATGACACCTTCTGTTTCCCACCATTCAAAAGGTGGATATATCCATACAGGTCTCTTCCCACACTCAAGGAGAACAGTGCAGGTGTTTTCAACCGGGATTGCCTGTTCCCAGACTTTGACCTGATCCCTGTGTAAACATGCAACTTATTTCTATTACTTTATATAATGGCATGGCTTACAGTAATATTTTCTTAAATGCTCTTTTTTTGGTTATGAAGGTTTTATGTTAAAATACCTAAACACCCTCAGTTGGCCCCTTCTTCCTGCAACTGCTCCTTATTGCTTTATCTAGAGCAAGCTGCTGCTTAGAGCAAGAGCTCCAGGAAGAATTTATCTGGAATTAACATGAATCAATTTGTGAAGATAGCTTTTTGTGCTATGCTGAGAAAGAAAGCTTAAAAGATTAAATAAAAGGTGTCTGAACAGATTAGTCCCCAAAGCCTCCTGCTACTTGTTGCTATTGTCCACAGCTGACTCTACTGTCCACTTATGCAGTCTTTGCTGCAATCTTTCAGTAAGATTAGTTAATGATACATTTACAGCAAAAAAAAATTATTAACCTGAAACAATACAAAACCTATTTGAAATTAGGCATAATTATAATTGCTAAATTAACACTTTTGAAATGGTGTATATCCAAAGGATCTACAGTTGTCACACAGTGACAAGAACTTTACAAAAATAAACAGAGAAACCAACATTCCCCCAAACCAACAACAAACATTATCTTCAAATCAAGAGTGTACCCTAAAAACCCCAATGTCAGGTTTATACACGGAATATTTCAAAAACAAATAAGAGTTCAACATGAACTCAGGTTTTGTAACATCTTCCAGGCTAGGTTTCTTTATCTGCAGACTGCACTCGTGTTTACAAATGCAATTATCCCCTACAGAACCCTCACTGTGCASGCTGATTTGGTGTTCCACACATGTAAATCAGACACAGGACTTATTAATCTGTCAGAATTCTAAGGTGATGTTTCCTCCCACACCAGTGCTGCTGCTGTTTTTTGACAGACATCATCTACAGTATCAGATGCTTAATTTATTAAATTGATACACACCAGGAACAGGCAGGAGACTCACAAGCACATTTAATCTGAGCACTCAGGCTGCAGTGACGTGGATAAAACAAACAGCTTTTKCAGAAAGGAATTGCCTCTCTTTTCCAGAGACTGGAACTGACCCCTTCTTACGTCACTTCAGGGAATTAATCTTCCAGAAAATTAAGCTGATGTTGGTATGATCAGAAAAGCAGCAGAGAAAACACGAGGGAGAAAGGTGATTACGCACAACCAGGACAGAGGAAGGTACGGAAAAACCTGGACCTTTCCATGGCTCCTTGCCATGAGATCGATGTGAAATCAAAGGTTACACACACACAGTGTCAGCCACAAAGTAAACAGCAACAGAACAGAGAACTCCACACTATGTTAACACTTTCGAGTTTCACAAAGGAGACTAATCCATGTTTAATTCCTGCATTCTCTCAAAACCAAATGCTGTTTGTAAGCAGCTGGTTTGCACCAAGTCTGCCACAGAAAGAAGCCAATGGTTTGCAGCATTGCACTGTAATATTTCTGCAGCTAAACCTTGCAGGCAGATCAAGATGAGAGGGAGAAGMCAGGTCTGATGTGCAGGATGATTCCCACCTGTCCCCACCCTGCCATCAGACGCCGTGTGACTGCAGCTACGCTGGATGGATGAAGAAGTTGCCACCCCACTTCATCTCCACTGCTCATTACCTTCAAATCTCCCARCATAACTGCGTGTTTAGTCACTTCCTAACCCAGTTCTGTCAAAATGATTCCCGTTAGAAAATCTGTGTTTCAGCTTAACTCAGATTATTTTTGACAGAACTTGTTTAGCGGATGACTATAAATGCAAGTACCAGAAGATCTGAGAACATTGTAACCTTTAGAGCTCGGAGAGGAAATAGCAGTGAGCAGTGGAGCCAGCTACCCCTGTTCCATGGCTGTGTTACTGTGGGAGAAACACATTAATCACTCCTATAGGTCTGATTTGTCAGCCTGCCTGAGCAGGGAAAGCTGTGTATCGAGGCTGGCATCTTTAAAGAAAATAAATCAGAAATCTATAGGCTACTTATTTTACTGCTTAAAATGTCAGGTTTGGGTTTAGTGTCCAGAAATTAAAATAATTTGTTATAACTGCCTGCAATTTTGTTGCATAATGAGAGGAACAGGCAGATGCTGCTCAARAGATATTAATAAATGTGACATTTCTGTAGAGCTAATGGATAAATACCAACCTCGCCTTCTTATCTTAAATTATCATAACAAGSCCTGAAAACTTACTTAATTGCTTTCTACATACTACTGATGTGAACAGTGTCCGTGTTTTCACTTGTTACATAGCAAAAAAAGTGGGAAAGCTACCACCAAAATGCAACATCAAATTACCATCACACAATCCACAACACTGACAGCAGCAGTACTTGAGGTAAAGATCTCCTTACCTTTTATTGACAGGCTTCTCATCCTTGTCATAGGGCCTTATGAACCATTTCCCAATTCTTACGAAGTTCTTATCCATCAGGCATCTAGAAGACAATTACAGCAACAATTACTGCTTACATCTTAGAGCATAATTAAAAGGAGTCTTTGAAGACAATTACTCTAAGGGATTAGGCAGCTGAATTTCCATCATAATGAAATCAAACTTTGTAGCTTTCAGGTTCCACTTTGTTTTCCCACACCAGTCACAGAGAATCCCTGTCCCATCTCAGGATGCTGTCACAGATGCTGAACTTCACTGATTTCCCCTCATCTTTGCCACAATCTTTTCTACTCCCTTCTACTCTTTTTGCTGAATAAGCCACCATTCTACTTTTCATACTCCTTTTCTCGAACAAAGGCCATTCATTAGTACTAATTCTTTTATATTCAGTCAAAAATTTCATAATAAAGAATATGCATTCCCATATTTTTTGCATGTAAATGGTATATTATAGGAATGACAGAAAATTGTACTCAGGAAATATTAACAATTAYTCAGTTTTCCCTTCACATGATCCCCAGGCATGATTTCAGGTGCTGAAACTTCCACAATTACTGCTTCCTCTGTCAGAAAACCTCTCTCAATCAAATACACTCCCACATCACCAAAATTAGAACAATAAGTTCCATTTTCTGTGGTCCCTTTGAAACTTCAGTTTCTTTTTAGAAACTGCATATTTCTCTCTAAAAAAAAACCCCAACATTGAGGCTGAAAAGTGATCAATACCCAATTTCAATGGGCAAGTCAGGGAGTGCCTGATGCCTTTCTAGGTCCACCTGTGCAGATGAATCACAGGAACAACTTGCCAACCCTGAGTATGCCTCATACATTAAATATGTTCTCAAACGTGCTGCCCAAGGGACCACACATAGATATTCATTATAAAGGCGTATTTTTCAGAAAGGTAAATAATATGCTACTAAAATTCTAAAAAAACTGGTTATTTGTTGCTAGTGGTTTATACACTATTACAAGCAATATGCAAGCCTTGCCCATACATTTCCCATCTACACAGTATTTTTTATTTAGATGAAAGAAMTGGATTTTTCCACTCTTCTAAGTTTTCCAATAGTTTATTTCTATAGCAACTGCTAGAGATTAGCCAAAACAAAGCGGAAAAAATAAAAATCACATGAAACTTTCTGGGCAAGTGCTTCTGCAAGGTTCAGAAAAGCTGTGTGATCCACACTTCAAAAGCATACCTAGAAGACACAGATAGGAAATGGACTACTGACAATGTAGATACTAAAAGGCCTCTAATTCTTCTGGATAAATTTGGCAGGGTTTTCCAAAGTTAAAGCTGAAGAAAATTCTAACAGCACTTTCTCAATTAAAGCAAAAAGAATCCAGTTCATATATACCAATATCTTAAACTGAATATGAAAGCTAAGCCRGCAGAGATCTAAAGACATTGGTAGGGTGGAAAAAAAAGCTTCACAACTATTTCCCTAGGAAACATTTGCTATCAGAGAGTCTGTCAGTGCCAGCATGTTTTACACAAACAAAAGGAAGTCTGTGAAGTTTATATCAGATCCCTAAAGAAAATAATCTGTCGTAGCAAAAAAATGTAATAAATTCTTCCCATCACACACATTCAATGTCACATCACTGTGTCTCACCACAGCAGGTTTAACTGCTCAAACTAATGCTGCTTTCCTAGAAAAAAGTCTTCATGGCAAGATTTGTCCTTAAAAATCAGTCAACCCTCCATGCTAAACTAAATCATGGGTTATTTAAGGAATAATCCCATATAAAATCGGAGCCATGCCTGCAGCAGCACAGATCTCAGATTCAGCCGGGTGGGCAGTTAATGACAGTATGGTTATTTTTGCTGTATAAGCACTAAAGGTAACTACTCTTTCACAGTGAGTTGTAACAATGGACCTGTGTTAAAAAAAAAAAAAAAAAAAAAAAAAAAAAAAAAGTCATAAAATGCAGTTATTTAATGCTATAAGGACATGAAACACCCCGCCGGCCCTGGCTCCTCTCCCTCCTCAGGGCTGGGCGATCCCTCCCTCATGGGTGCAGCTGTTCCAGCACTTCACTGGCGTCCTGACCTCCTGAATTTCTGATTTTTCCACCAAAAAATGACCTGCCAAGGGCACACCAGTCGTTATGAAACGACACCGTAATATTTCCAGCACTCATCCCTCAGATCTTGTAATGTTTTTTATATTGCCAATTAACATAAACCGATCATTAGTGTGGGCACTGAAGGGGGGAGGAAAAAAAAAAAAAAAAAAAAAAAAAAAAAAAAAAAAAAAAAAAAAAAAAAATAAAAAAAAAAAAAAAAAAAAAAAAAAAAAAAGGAAAAAAAAAAAAAAAAAAAGCACAATCAGTATCGTAAAGGCCCTTGTCTTTGCCTTTGCCAGAGTTCGGTGAAAGCAGACTCTTCTCCTCCCTTTCTGCCCCGCGTTGTCCCCACAGGTCCCTCGGGGTCCTCCATGAGGGGCCGCTCCCCCTCACGGCTCCTCCTCCCGCCATTTCCTTCCCGCCGCCGCCGCTCCCCCTCAGCCCTCGGCCGAACAAACAGGAAAAAACCCGAACCCCGCAGAACCGCCTCTGATCAAACAAACA